TAATATAAAGTTAGGTAGTTTTCTTTTCTTACTGCCTTTTACTAAAAGTAGTAGAACTTATAATTTTTTTATTTATTACACTTTATCTATAGTTCTTGCTTATAAGGGGGAGCTGTTTAATAAGTGTAACAATTTATAGTTTTGTAGGCTAAGGCTGTTCCTTGCTATAGGCAACTGTTATAGTTCTTTTTCTATGTAGGCTACTATCCTACTTAATGTTTGTTATCCTAGTCTTTAACGCAGTATTATTGTGTACACTAGTACTAGAGGTATAGACAATTATTAGGTCTATGTAACATGTTAAGGGGACTTTTTTAGGTCTACTAAGGATATTCTTTTATTTGTACTAGCTGTATAAAGTGCTCTTTCTATTAGCACTTACTTGTGCTATAGGTGCTGCTTTTGTAGAGAACACATTGTCTATAATTTTATTATACTATAAGAGCTTTTCTAGAGATTGCTAGGCTTAGGAGCAGTGTCTTAGGTTTCTTAGGCGCTAGTTATAGTACTTTAAACCTAGTAGGTTTACCTAGCTATTTTAGCTTTTAATCTTTAATTTTAGTAAAAAATTACTATTACTTTTTTTTATTTATAATATTATATTTAACTTTAGCTATCCTTTGTATAATGTTAAATATTAAGTAGTTGTTGCTAATGTTTATTTAGTAAAGTAAGACTATATAATTACTTAGGTAGTTGTATAGTAACCTACACTTCTAGCACCTGCATCCCTAAAACTGTTAGAAAAGCTCTCTTGCTAAAGTACTAAGGGTTTAGTCTTAAAGAGAAAAATGTTTTTCTTTTTTCTAAACATTTATAATGTATTCTTAGATCTAAGTCTCTTCTTTATATCCCTTAAAAATTACAAGGTCCTGCAACACTGTATTAAGGCTATTAAAGTTTTAAATAACTACCTTTTAATACACTTTAGAGCAGTTATTTAAAAAGTAGTTTTCTTTATATTACTAGTAAAGTCTATTATCTAGTCTTTTTTATATTTCCTTATCTATAAGGCTATATTTAGTAGTAATAGCTTTTATTATTATAGTAGTATTTTTATTTTCCTCTTTTTAGAAGTTTAGGTAGTTTTAGTAGAAGTGTTCTACTTTTTTATAGTTTAGACAGGCCTTGTTTTTTAGCTATTTTTATTGTTCCTTTATTAAAGGCAGCTTATTACATTCTAGAACTTAGCTTTTTTTAGAAAGGGGGCTTTATATATGCTTTACATAACTAAGGTTTATTAGCTTTTTATTATATTATAAAAGCTTTTTTTTTCTAGAGATAAATTCTAGCTTTTAGAAGGTTTTCTTTAATTTCTTTTTTTTTTATGTTTTCTGTAATAGTTATTATAAGTTGTTGCTTTTTTAATATAGTCTTTAAAAGTAGTTAGTTAGTTTATATACATAAACTTATTTTTTACTTTTTTATTTAGTCTGTTATAAAACATGCGGTATAAGGCTTTCTAGTTGTTCTATCTGCAGATAGCTATTTGTTCCCTAAAACATGCTATATAGTTCTAGACTAGTCTGCTGCCCTGCTTTATATTATTTAGTTAGTTAGCTGTAATTTTTTTTTTATTTAAAGTCCTATAAATAGCTAATAAAGCTGTCTTAAAATTTTTAACACTACTAAATACTTTCTTTGTTTTAGAATTAAGTAGGGCGCTATTAGCTCTAAAGTCTATCTAGTTGTTAGCATAAGGTTAGAACTAGATTGTAAAGGGGCCTTCTAAGTGTAGTCCTATTTAGAAGATTATTTCTGCATTAGTCTAAAATGCTTCTTTATTATATTGCATATAGAGGTAGCATTTAGTAAAGAATAGTTAGAGGTTTTTTAACAAACTTTTAAAAAGCTTTAAAAAGGCTAGTCTTAAAGCCTTTTTAGCTATAATACTTACTTTATTAGTTAAAATATTTTAAACTTTAGCTAGTTTTACTTATAGTTTATATATCTAATAGGCTTAGGTAGTTACTTTATAAAAGTTAACTAGAAGTAGAAGATTTTATAAGCTTATAGTTTTTTAGTAAAGGTTAGCTATTTTTTATTTAAGTTTTAATAAGTTGCTAACTTTATTACTAATTTACTAAAGTTTCTTAATGTTGTTCTAGATAAAGTTAATCTGTTCTGCTAAGACAGCTTTACTTTAGGTAGGAACTTCTGTAGATTTTAATAGCGCAGCGTAGGCTATATTAAAATCTAAGTTGTGTTAAGAGGTTGCTATACTTTTTAAAGAGAGTAGTGTTTAATGTTATAATTTTTACTTTAGAAAGCACTTAGGTCTTATAATGTTCTTAGAGGGGGGAAAGTAGGACAGATAGAAGGGGCTAATCTAGTAGAGTGTACAGTCCTACGTACAGGCTATTAGGCTAATAAAGGAAGGGAGAGTAACTAGATTATAGTTTGCCCTATGTGCAGCAGTAGAGAGGCTAGGGTTAAACAGTCCTATTAGACAGAGTTAGAGGTATATATAGTGTAAGATATATAAATAGTATTATAGCTCTTTAGAAAGCTAAATGCTACTTAGTCTATGTAAAAAATAAACTAAATGTTAAACATACCTTCTAAAAGTTATTTAATGTAGGAACTTATATACATGTGTTAGGATGCTAAGAGGAGTTAGCAAAGTTTATAAAAGTCTACTAAAAAGAGCTTCTTAAGCTTCCTTAAACTCCTAGTAACACGCGGCCTGCCTTCCTATTAGACAGAGCATTCTTCCATGATCTTAGGAAGCCGTGCTGCCTCTGTGTCCTCCGGCTGGTCCGTAAGCGAGCCCTGCTCCAATTCAGCTAGATTGTGGAGCACTGCTGGTGGGGTTACGCTGGTCCAACCGTAGATCGTAACAGTCACATGCTCTGCGACTTAAGCTCCCTCGCTTGCGCAACGAGTAGCGCCTTTGTGCAACAAGTAGCGCCTTGGCAGAGGGCACACATGTATATTTAAACTCGCAGAGCAGCTTCTCTGCTCCTTAGTTTAATCTAGTTAGTGTAACGGCGCAGGCAAGACAATGGGTCCGAATGCGGTATGAATCCACTCAGAGGCATATGGGAGTGCGTGGGGACTCAGAGACCTGGGAATACC